AAAGAAATTTTGCAGGCTAGAAGGGAGTGGCAAGAAATATTCAGAGTGATGAAAAGCAAGAACCTACAACCAAGCTTACTCTATCCTGCAAAGCTGTCATTTAGAATCGATGGCCATATAAAGATATTCCCAGACAAGGAAAAGCTAAAGGAGTTCATCACAACCAAACCATTATTATATGCAATGTTGAAGGGTCTTCTTGAAGAAAAAGATAAAAAATATGAACAAACAAAATGTCAGTGAATACATATCTATCGACAATTGAATCTACAAACAAAATGAACAAGCAGAACAGAAACATTCTCATAGATACAGAGAACATTTTGTTGGTTGCCAGATGGGAGGGGTTTTGTGAGAATGGGTGAAAAAGGTGAAGGGATTAAGAAGTACAAATTGGTTGCTAGACTAACAAACCTCAAAGGGAAGGGAAGTTGGGGGTGGGAAGAAATAAACCAAAGAACTTATATGCATATATGCATAACCGATGGACACAGACAACAGTGTGGGAAAAGGCAGGAGGGGGACAGGAGTGGGGAGGAAGGAGTCAATGCGGGGAAAATGAGGAACATCTGTAATACATTCAACAATAAAGATAAAAAGAGCAACAGATGCTGGGAGTTTGGGTCAAGATGGCAGCATAGCTCAACTGGCGTTGCTCAGTGGTTGAGCGTCAACCCATGCACCAAGAGGTCGCTGGTTCGATTCCCAGTCAGGGCACATGCCCAGGTTGTGGGCCTGATCCCCAGTGGGGGGCATGCAGGAGGCGGCCAGTCGATGTTCTGTCTCACTGATATTTCTATCTCTCTCTCTCTTTCCCTCTCCCTTCGTCTAAAATCAATAAAGAAAAAAAAAAGATAGCAGCATAATTAAATGTGGTATTTGTTTCCTCCCACAACCAGATAAAAATTACAACTAAATTACAGAACAACCATCATTTAGAACAACCTGAAATCTGGCTGAATAGAAGTCCAACAACTAGGAATTTAAAGATGCCACACTGACACTGGTAGGGGAGTCAGATATGCTGAATGGGGTAGACACACACACAAACACACACACAGGGCAGATAAAAATTGGGAGGGATATCCTAGCTGTGGAGGTCCCTACTGAGGAGCAAGGGGTCCCAGCCCACCAGATACCCCAGCCCAGGGTTCCAGTGCCAGGAAGAGAAGTCCCCATAACTTCTGGCTATAAAAACCAATGGGGATTAAGGCTGAGTGAGACAGAGGGCAGCAGCTTGAAATGCACCAGAGATACATGGGAGAAACTGAATTGTCTGGCATCCAGGGCAAGGCTGGAGGGGCAGCTTTCTCCCAGACAGAAATGCTGGCAGAAGCCATTGTTCCTTTGATGAGCTCTTCCCACACAGCAACTGCAGGCAGGAGCCACATCTGAGATTCCCTGAAGCCCTGCCCTACACAACTTTTGGGCCCATCCAAGCTGTTTCCAATAGTTTTCCATATGAATGGCCTGTCTTGGCTCATGCTTCAGACTTTCCTAAAATCTCTCAAACAAGCAGCATCTGACCTCAGCTAGCCTCATACCTCTAAGTGGCCCCTGGCCTGGCACTAGCAGCAGCCAGCCTTGGTTCACAGCTTGGCCTCACCTGGGCACCTCCAAGCCCAGCACAAGTAGCAGCCATCTGCAGATCACTTTGTAGCTCATACTAGGTGGCCCCAGGCAGAACATAGGTGGTAGCTGACCTTGGCCTGCACCTCCTGGGAGGCCCCAGAGCCAGTGCACCCAGTGGACAGCTTCATACCACGTCAAAGTACCACCACCCAACCACCTCCAAATGTGACACACTCAAGGGGTGGATTAAGCACGTACCAGAGCCCTGCTGAAGAAAATCTTGCTTTGTGGGGTGGGCCCCTGCATAGCTAATCCTTCCAAGTGGTGGCAACCAGTCCTTGCAGCTAATTGACCTGGGGTTAAAGCCCTCCCATTGACATGCCAAGAGTGATCAAGGCTCAGCTACATTCCACATATGTACACATACAAGAGGTGGGTGTACACAGCCCATCCCAGGGGTGGGAGGTGGGGGGTGGGGGTGCTCCTCTAGTGCCCAGCTTGGGTGATCAGGGAGGCTGTGCCACTGGGCCTTACAGAACACCTACTACATTAAGCCACTTTACCAAAACCAGGAGACGTACGTAGCAGTGTTACCTAATATATAGAAACCAACACAGAGAGGCTGCCAAAAGGAGCCAAAGAAACATGTCCAAAATGAAAGAAAACAACGAAACTTCAGAGAAAGAACTAAACAAAATGAGGACAAGCAATCTAACAGATGCAAAGTTCAAAACATTGGTTATAAGGATGCTTACTGAATTTAAGGGCAGCACAGAAGAACTTAGTGAGAACTTCAACAAAGAGATAGAAAACATACAAACAAAATTAGGAAATATAAAAGAGTCAGTCAGCCCTGGCCGGTTTAGCTCAGCGGTTAGAGCGTCGGCCTGTGGTCCAGAGAGACTCGGGTTCGGTTCCCACTAAGGGTGCATACCTCGGTTGCGGTTTGTCCCCGGCCCTCATTGGTTGGTTGTACAGGTGGCAACCACTCGATGTGTCCCTTTCACATCGATCTCTCTCTCTCTCTCTCTCTCTCTTCCTCTCTCCCCCTCCCACTCTATCTGAACAAAAAGGGAAGAATGTCCTCGGGTGAGAATAAAAAAAAAATGAGCCAGTCAGAAATAAAAAATTCATTAACTTCAATGAAGAATACATCACAGGGAATCAACCATTGAGCAGATGAAGCAGAGGATCAAATCAGAGATTTGGAATATAAGGAAGCAGAAAACACCCAATGAGAACACCATAAAAAAAAAAAAAGAATCCAAAAAAAGTGAGGATAGTACAATGAGCCTCTGGGACAACTTTAAGCACACCAACATTCACATCATGGAAGTGCCAGAGACAGAGCAAGGAATTGAAAACCTACATAAAAAGCTCTAGCCAGTATGGTTTAGTGGTTAGGGCATTGGCCTGTGTACTGAAGGGTGTCCAGTTCCATTCCCCATCAAGGGCATGTACCCAGGTTGCACGTTCAATCCTCAGCCCTGATCAGGGCACGTATGAGAAGTAAGCAATTGATGTTCCCTTCTTTCTTTCTCTCTCTCCCCAACCCCCCATTCTCTCTCTAAAAATCAATGGAAAAATCCTCCGATGAGGATTAACCAAAAAAACAAACAAACAAACAAAGATCTATGTACACATACACGTCCAGGAAGTGCACATTCCCAAAGATGAACCCACAGAGGCCCACACCAAGACATATCATAATGAAAATGTAAAAGGTTAAGGACAAAGAGAGAATCTTAAAAGCGGCAAGAGAAAAGCAGTTACCCTACAAAGGAGCTTCCATAAGACTGTCAGCTGATTTCTCAACAGAAACTTTGCAGGCCGGAAGGGATTGGTAAGAAATACTAAATGTAATCATAAGTAAGAACCTACAACCAAGATTACTCTACCCGGCAAAGCTATCATTTATAACTGAAAAACAGATAAAGAGCTTCTCAGACAAGAAAAAGCTAAAGGAGTTCACCACCACCAAACCAGTATTATATGAAATGTTAAAGGGTCGTCTTTAAGAAGAAGCCCAACTAGTATGGCTCAGTTGGTTGAGTGTCATCCCATGCACCAGGAGGTCATTGGTTTAATTCTTGGTCAGGGCACACGCCCAGGTTGTGGACTCAATCTCCAGTAGGGGGCATGCAGGAGACAGCCGATCAATGTTTCTTTCTCTCTCCTTTCCTCTCTCTGAAATCAATAAAAACACATTAAAAAAAAAAGAAAAACAAACAAATATCAAAAATGTGAACAATAAAATTGCAATACATATCTATCAACAATTGAATCTTAAAAAAATAAACAAACCATAATAGAAAACTCATAGCTACAAAGAACATTTTGATGGTTGCCAGATGGAAGGGGGGGTGAGGAGGCTGTGTGAAAAAGGGGAAAGGATTAAGAAGTACAAATTGGTAGTCACAAAACAGTCATGGGGATGTGAAGGACAGCATAGGGAATAAGTCCATAATATTCTAATAACTATGTATTGGGTCAGATGAGTGTGAGATTTATCAGGATGATCACTTGGTAAGTTATGTAATATCTAATCATGGGAGAGTAACACCTGAAATTAATATGTCAACTGTAATTGAAAAATAGAAAATGTTATAAAAAAGAATATGATACCAGCAAGGGTATGGGAAGACTTGGGGGGTCTAGAACCAGCCACCCCAGGATGTGCCTCAGTGGTATGCAGATTTGAGCTGAAGGCAATTTTAGCTTTAGGCTCAGGAGAAACTTCTGTTCCTGTTCCCCTCTTAATTACCTAGAAAAATTTGAATCAAAGGCCTTGCCCATAAAAAGAGATTATCAGGGCAAACCTTTTGACACACCTATATGGCAGGGCAAACTTTCATTTAATGACTATCTACTCTTATTATCCTGCAATGACACTTTGAAGCACACCTCAAGGTATATTACCTCATCCCTAACTCAGGATGTCTTACATACCTCAATCCCCCTTTCTATCTCTGAACCTCTCCTGTATGCAGGGTCTCTGATTCTCTCATGTATGTGGGGTTCCCATGCACATGATATTAAATTTGATTTTCTCTTGTCAAAATAAATAAATAAGATCTTGCTGTTTCATAAAAATTGCTAGGAAATCGTTACATTTTAGAAAATTTCTTCACCTCTCCTAGACTACTTTAAAAAATTATCGTAAAATATAAATAACAAAATCTACCATTTAACCATATGAGTGTACAAATTTAGTGGCATTAACTACTTTCACGGTTATGTAACCACACAACCACCATCTGTCTCCAGAACTTTTTCATCCTCCCAAATTCAAACTCAGTATCCATTAAACAGTAATTCCCGATTCCCCCCTCCCAACTAGCCCTTCTCTACTCCTAGACTCAGTTTCTCTTTCACTTAATAAAAGGGGGGGGGGCATGGCTGACTAGTTGGATTGTTTCTATGTATGCAGGCCTTCTTATATATATATATATGTGATTGAGTTTATTGCAAGAAATGGTAAGACAAAATGGGGTTGCAGAAAGAGGTGGAGACACAACCGGGTAAAGGTTTTCCTTCTGGGCCTCCTATCCACAGGCCTCAGCAGCCCTGCCATGGATCTGCCCGATTCTTTCGCATCAAAAAGTTGATCTTGCGAGTCATTTCCATGTTGTAGATCCTCTGGCAGGTTTCATAGCTTTCCCTCTGTCGTCTGCGGCAAGGCTTCTCGTAGTATCGGCGCCGCTTGATGTCCTCAATGAGCCCATCCATGGTGAGGATTCTGTATGAAGGCAGGCAATGAAGTTAGAAGCTTGGGTTCATTATTATTCCTTTCCAATGTTATAGATGGCCAGAAGTCAACTGACCAAACAATTGATGTCTGTAAAAAATTACGGTGTGAAATGGTGGCAATACAACATTAACTGCCTACTTATAGAGGCCCAAAATAGGAATCTGGGGAGAATAAAAAAAGAAATTAATTGCCCTGGCTGGTTTGGCTCAGCGGTTAGAGCATCGGCCTGCGGACCAGAGAGTCCCAGGTTCAGTTCCTGTTAAGGGCACGTACCTCAGTTGCAGTCTGTCCCCAGCCCCAGTTGGGGTCGTGTGGGTGGCAACCAGTCAATATGTCTCTCTCACACTGATGTTTCTCTCTCTTCCCCCCTCTCTCCCTCCCGCTCTATCTGAAGATAAATGCAAAAATGTCCTTGGGTAAGGATTAAAAAAAAAAAAGCAATTAATTACACCGTCCATGCTCTTGGGGAGTTTATAGTTAGGGCCATGTTCTCAACCTTTTTTCTACCACAGCACACCTGAGCGATATGATATAGTGCCATAAGAACAGTGGCTCCCTATGGCAGTGATTTGCAACCACGGGGTCATTTCAGAGTCTTCATGTGGGTGAGTCATTGTGGTAGCAAAAAAAAAAATCACTGGGGGTGATTCCTAGGTCCTTAGTGAAGAATGTAGTTCCACTGTTACACTGTTTAAAAACTGATATAGCTGAAGTCTGTAGGTCTGAGAAATCTCTGGGCCTACTTAATGCAGGGAAAGAAGAGGCCCTCATCACACCTGTGATACACGTGGGACCACTAAAACAGCCTCTCATCCAACATTTTTCCATTTAGCATATGCTCCAACCCACTACTTTGCTGACTGCTCCCTGAACACACTCTAATCCCAAGTCTTCACTCATGCTGCTTCCTCTGCCTAGAATGCCACCTTCAACCCTCAGTTGCCAACCTTTTGACTGAAATTTTCCACATCTTTTTGATGCCAAACCCAGATGTCGCCTCTCCACAAAACTTTCTCCTCTTCTTTAATTAGGGAAAATAATTAATTTTATCATTATTTTTAAATATATGTATTGATTCTTAGAGAGAGGAGGAGAAAGAAAAATTGCTGTGAGAGCAGAACATCAATTGGCTGCCTAACGGGGATCAAGCCCAAAACCAGGGCATGTCCCCTGACCAGGAATGGAACTGGCAATCTTTTGGTACAGGGGACGATGCCCAACCAACTGAGCCACACTGGCCAGGGCAAAAATCATTTACTTTATTGTAGACCTACTTAGCAATTATTTAATTCTGCCCTTCCATTAGTTACTTATTAGACTAAAATCCTCCAAATGCAGAAATCACATTTTATTAATCTTTAAGTGTCCTTAAAACTGAGTTGTTTAGCCCTGGCCAGTTTGGCTCAGCGGTTAGAGCGTCGGCCTGCGGTCCGGAGAGACCCGGGTTCGGTTCCCGCTAAGGGCACGTACTTCGGTTGCAGTTTGTCCCCGGCCCTGGTTGGTCGTGCAGGTGGCAGCCACTCGATGTGTCCCTTCACATCAATGTTTCTCTCTCTCTCTCTCTTCCTCTCTCTCCCTCCCTCTCTCTCCCTCCCACTCTATCTGTACAAAAAATGGAAAAATATCCTCGGGTGAGGATAAAACAAAACAAAACAAAACAAAAACAAAACAAAAAAAACTGAGTTGTTTATTTTGCCCCCCTACCCCATTTCTTGCAATGCAGCTTCTCCTGTCAGATTTATAACACACCTAACTCAAACTCACCTTTGTTTTCACGGAGCCAAGAAGACATGGGGGCTTAGTCTATAATCTATTAATCCCTAGGCTCCTGAGAGCTCTAGTTCCAATCGATAACTTTAGTCTCCCTCTCAACCCATCATTAGTTGATCCTGAGAAGATCTGGAGGCACCTGTTGCTGCTGCTGCCCTCCATTCCTGGCATTGTTTACATGGTCCCATTCCTGCTTTCCCTGCTCTTATATTACATGTAAGAAGTCATAAACACAACTGGAGATAAGGAGGTTGAGACATGGTTATTATAATTGGAAGGAGGAGGACACAGGAAGAAGTTAATGAGAGCAACCACCAGCTAATTTTGCCCAGTGGGAAACTCTATTTACTGCTGCTATGTTATATTACAAAGACCAAGATAACAACAAAAGATTGAACATGAACTTGAAAAGAGCTGAGCTTTGGGTAAATTACAAATGTGAATAGACATGGGAACCACTGTATCTATGGGATCCTCTCTCAGCCTCTTGCTGTTTTAATATTGAAAATGATTTGTAAGCTACTAGAGAATCTTAATTGTGTAAGTCAGTTTGTCTAGGTTTTAGTTGCAAGGTAATGGGAATCAAGGGAATTGCTGCAAAATCCCAGAAGCAGGAGAAGCAGATAATTTGGGTTCTGCTGGAAACACTGACATGCCCAGAAGTCATGTGGACCCAGCACTAGTCTCACAATAGAGAAGTAGGTCACTGAAGACCAAAAGACTCAGTCTCTTGGCCTACAAAGGGTCTCCTTTGCCAACTTTCTTCCTCAATTTACCCTTGAATAGTGGTATCACTCAAGATTCTGACTGTAAACCATTTCATTTCTGGTTATGATTCCCTTAACCTCTACCCGTGACCCTCAACCACAATGCACAATGGAACCACCCCATACATGGCTTTTTTTTTTTTTTTTTTTATCCTCACCCGAGGACATTTTTCCATTTTTTGTACAGACAGAGTGGGAGGGAGAGAGAGGAAGAGAGAGAGTGAGAAACATCGATGTGAAAGGGACACATCGAGTGGCTGCCACCCGCACGACCAACCAGGGCCGGGGACAAACTGCAACCAAGGTACATGCCTTTAGCGGGAACCGAACCGCGGTCTCTCCTGACCGCAGGCGGGCGCTCTAACCGCTGAGCCAAACCGGCCAGGGCTTTTTTTTTTTTTTTTTTATCCTCGCCCGAGGACACTTTTCCATTTTTTGTTCAGATAGAGCGGGAGAGAGAGAGAGAGAGAGAGAAACATCGACGTGAAGGGACACATCGAGTGGCTGCCACCCGCACGACCAACCAGGGCCGGGGACAAACTGCAACCGAAGTACGTGCCCTTAGCGGGAACCGAACCGCGGTCTCTCCTGACCGCAGGTGGGCGCTCTAACCGCTGAGCCAAACCGGCCAGGGCTTTTTTTTTTTTTTTTTTTTTTTTTTTTTATCCTCGCCCGAGGACACTTTTCCATTTTTTGTTCAGATAGAGCGGGAGAGAGAGAGAGAGAGAGAGAAACATCGACGTGAAGGGACACATCGAGTGGCTGCCACCCGCACGACCAACCAGGGCCGGGGACAAACTGCAACCGAAGTACGTGCCCTTAGCGGGAACCGAACCCGGGTCTCTCCGGACCGCAGGCCGACGCTCTAACCGCTGAGCCAAACTGGCCAGGGCCCATACATGGCTTTTAAAAGGTACTGATGCCAGGCCCTGGCCGGTTTGGCTCAGCGGTTGGAGCGTCGGCCTGCGGTCCTGAGAGACCCGGGTTCGGTTCCCGCTAAGGGCACGTACCTCGGCTGCAGTTTGTCCCCGGCCCTGGTTGGTCGTGCGGGTGGCAGCCACTCGATGTGTCCCTTTCACGTCGATGTTTCTCTCTCTCTCTCTCCCTCCCGCTCTATCTGAACAAAAAATGGAAAAATGTCCTCGGGTGAGGATAAAAAAAAAAAAAAAAAGTACTGATGCCATATTCTGGTTTCTCTTCAGATCATATAAATCTTTCGCCTTTTACTGGCGAAAAAAAAAAAGGTACTGATGCCTAGGCCCCACTCCTCATAGATTCTGACTTAATTGGTCTAGAGTGGTTCTATGTACTGGAAATGTTTTCAAAGACCCCCAAAATAATTCTAATGTAGAGTCACAATTGAGAACTGATCCAGACACTATTGACTCCTAAATCTTTATCTGTAACTCCAATCTTACCTAAGGCTAAAATATTTTCAACTGCCTCAAAACCTACAAAAAGCAAATTTATTGTTTCCTCCTAAATTTTATTCCTCCTCCTCTATAATGTTAATGGTATCACCAATTACTCAAGCTAAAAATCTCAGCACATTCCTGAACTAGGCTTTCTCCTTTACTTCCTACATCCACAGTTACCACATCCTATAAATTTTATATCCTGAAATAGTTCTTAGATCTCTTCCTTCTCTCCTCTTCTATGGCCACAGCTCTAATTTTGGTCTTTATCGTCTTGTATCTGGAATACTGAAATAATCATCTAACTGGTCATTTAATCAATACATTATTTATGGAATCCCAACACTGTACTAGACATTGTGTTAAATGCTAAAGACAGAAAAACTTAGACATGTTTCCCTACCTGAGGTCTAGTAGAGAAGACAATTATACAAGAATTACAAGAGTGTGATAGGTGCAAAGATAAGGGAAACACTGCTATAGAAGAGGACACAGGAGAGGCACTTAATCTGGATTTGAGGACAAGAAGGTGGTTATGAAGGCTTCCTAAACTTATTTGAATTGTGAAGGGTAAGTAGGTTGCCCTATTTTCATTCTCCTTACCTACACCAATTATTGTCCTGAAACATAAATTAGATCATGTCACTCTGATGTTAAAAAATCTTTCCCAAGGCCCTGGCCAGGTAGCTCAGTTGGTTAGAGCATTGCCCTGATTCACTAAGGTTGTGGGTTTGATCCCCGGTCAGGGTACATACAAGAATCAACCAATGAATGCATAAATAAGTGGAACAACAGATCAATGTTTCTTACCATCTCTCTTCCTCTTCCTCTCCCTTCCTCTCTCTCTCTCTAAAATCAATCAATCAATCAACCAACCAACCAACTAAAAAAAATATTTCCCAATATACAAAATAGTCTAAGCCAGTGGTTCCCAGTGTTGTCTGCACATTATTGACTGGGAATCAAACCAGCAACCTTTCAGGATGACACTCACCTGGGGATAGTTTATTTTATTTTTTTAAATATGTTTTTATTT